ATCCTGTGTGCGGCAAGTTCCTCACCTTGCTACGAGATCGTAAGGTCGTAACGAGTTCCTGTCGTTGCTCACCATTGAGAAGTGCGATGCCGCATCTCTCCTCTCTATGCTCCTCTCACACTTAGAGACCATTGGCCTTGACCTGAAAAAGATAGCAGGTATGTCGACGGACGGAGCCCCGGTCATGTTGGGGTCGACTGGGAATTGGTGGCTCGGCTTCGGCTGCGACTGCCACATCTTGTTTCGGTGCACTGCGTCGCTCATCAATGAGTGGTTACCACATTTTGCCAGAGTGCATCGGGTAAAAAAAAACTCATATCCCTCTCGTTTTCATCTGTACGTGGCAGGGGAGCGCTCGCAGCCAAGGAGGGCTGCGTTAGTGGTGCCATTCCGGGCTTGATAGATGTCATAGGCCATGCAGTGTGTGACATGCTTGGGAAGTCTCACCCATGGCACGGTGTTTTCATGCATCTCCAGGAGTCGTCCTTGCAAACGAATCTGGAGATGCAAGGCATTCACCAGGGCCGGTGGCTGAGTCGGGGCCACGCAGTGGAGCAACTCTGCGACGCCTACCTGCGGTGATTGTGCTTCTCCTGGAGTACGATGCACCCATCTACCACGTGGCGACGTCACTGAAGTTCCTTGTGTACCTCTATTTCCTGGCAGATCTCCTAGAAGAGCTCAACAACCTCAACCTGGTCTTTCAACGACAGGTAAGGAGTACTGGTCAGGATTACCGTGCTCATGTCATTCACCACACTAATAGCTATCTCCTATCTACACTTTATCCCCCGTGCCCATTCGCAGTCATCTTCATCTGGGAGCGCTACATCGAATACGGTTAACATTTTCGCGCGGAAACAAGCAAGCGCCTGTCGCCCTTCCTCAAGCGTCTCTCGTCAAGCCGCACCGTCACGGCAGAAGGCGTCGATGTTGACGGTCGCCCGCGACGCCACACCTTTCGCTTGCACGAGGAACACCCGAAGGGGTATAACAAGACGCCTGGCGACCTGGAGTCCTGATTCAAGACCTGTCGCTCGTACGCGCTTGCGGTAGTGGACCACCTGCAGCAGAGGTTCAAGGACCTCGACACTTTGGACGGCGCTAAGCTGTTCATGCCTGATAGCTGGCCGCGGGACACTGACGATTGGAATAAGGAGTGTGTGGCCCAACTGGAAGCCCTATTCGGAATGTTCCACATCGGCGAGAGGCAAGAGGTGCTTCCTGGTGAGTTGCGGAAGTGTATTAATGCTATTCCTGCGCGTGTTATCGTCAGCTAACTTGTGTGTTTACATTCTCCCGCTTGTAAGCTTTGGTGCAGGTGTTGACAAGCGCATGGCAAAGAAGGAGCTAAGGACCTTGGTCCAAGGAGCTCCTCGTGGAGAGCGAAGCTTCCACGATGGCTTGGTGGCAATGCTCAAGACCGGCGACTGGGAGAGGAGCTACCCGAACCTTGTGAAGCTGTGGGTAGCAGTCGCGGTCCTGCCACTGAGTACAGTAGAGTGCGAAAGTGGATTCAGCAGGCAAAACATCATCAGAAGTTGGCACAGGGCCGAGCCTCTGCAACGGAAAGCTCGGTGATCTCATGCGCTTGAGCATGCTGCGATATAAGATGGAGTGGGATGCGGTGGTGAAGATTTGGAGAAGCAAAAAGTGCCGACCCACCCACAAGAAGGATTACCAACACAAGCAGCAGCATCAACGGGCCAAGGGGCAGGAGAAGGTCTCGAGCACGAAGACTCAGACGATGAGAGCAGCAGCAGCAGCACTAGCTCGGATGGGGAGAACTGCTAGTTTGGTAGAGTGCATTGCAGTGCATAGTAGGTTAGGAAGGCAAATCCTAACAACTAGGTAGGATTTAGTAGTAATATAGTGTAGTAGCAACCAACCAACAAAGTATAGCAATGTGATTAAATTGAACTGCTATAGCTACAAAAGGTACAAACACTGTGTGGAAAAAAAATGCCCTGACGTGTCAGGGTTTAGTGCTGGCGTGCCCTTAGAAATCAGGGTCACCATGGGGGCTCTGCCCTAAGGAGAACATGCTTTTCTGTGCCATGCCCTGAGGGCTCCTATTTGACAGCTCAGAACTCCTCCCCCTCCCCCCCCCTCCCTCCCCACCCCACCCACACCCTAGTCCCGGGGGTCTTTTGTTGCAGGGCGGGCGTGTCTTATGTCCGGGGGATATCGGTATTATGTTTGTATAAAATAGATTTAGAAGACACCCTATTGTTCGTGTTTACAATATAAACGGCCTATTTATATAGCAGTATGAGGTAGGGCAAATATACATTCTATCCGTGCGATGACGGTAGGAACAGTACTACTTGCTACGCACAATCGCATGCAGGGTTATCGTACATGTGAATTCAGGCAGTGGTGTGCTCGTGCATCAGAGGACCTTTGTCCGCTCAAAGAAGGTCTTGAGATGCCAGTACTGCAGAGCGGCCAGCAGAGCGCACGTGAGCAGCGAGAAGGCGCTGAGCCACCCGACTCGCGCCTGCGTGGCCTGGGACATGCCTCGCAGCTCCTCCTCCCTGCACCCATGCATGTAGCTCACAGCATGAATCAAAGGGTGGTGCAACAAGGGAGCACAAAGGTCCAGCTGCAGTTCCTCCAGCACCACAGATAGGCAAATGCACACCGATGCCATCCCCCATGCACACTGATGCCATCCCCCATGCACACTGATGCCATCCCCCATGCACACTGATGCCATCCCCCATGCACACTGATGCCATCCCCCATGCACACTGATGCCATCCCCCATGCACTCTCCCTGCCATCTCTCATGTGCAACACATCTCTCATGTGCAACACACACCTCTCACCTCACATCTCACCTCTCACCTCTCTCCTCTCACCTCTCACCTCTCTCCTCTCACCTCTCACCTCTCTTCTCTCACCTCTCACCTCTCTCCTCTCACCTCTCACCTCTCACCTCTCACCTCTCTCCTCTCACCTCACCTCTCACCTCTCACCTCTCTCCTCTCACCTCTCACCTCTCTCCTCTCACCTCTCACCTCTCTCCTCTCACCTCTCTCCTCTCACCTCTCACCTCTCTCCTCTCACCTCTCACCTCTCTTCTCTCACCTCTCACCTCTCTCCTCTCACCTCTCACCTCTCTCCTCTCACCTCTCACCTCTCTTCTCTCACCTCTCACCTCTCTCCTCTCACCTCTCACCTCTCACCTCTCACCTCTCTCCTCTCACCTCTCACCTCACCTCTCACCTCTCACCTCTCTCCTCTCACCTCTCACCTCTCTCCTCTCACCTCTCACCTCTCTCCTCTCACCTCTCACCTCTCTTCTCTCACCTCTCACCTCTCACCTCTCTTCTCTCACCTCTCACCTCTCTCCTCTCACCTCTCACCTCTCACCTCTCACCTCTCTCCTCTCACCTCTCACCTCACCTCTCACCTCTCACCTCTCTCCTCTCACCTCTCACCTCTCTCCTCTCACCTCTCACCTCTCACCTCTCACCTCTCTCCTCTCACCTCTCACCTCTCACCTCTCACCTCTCTCCTCTCACCTCTCACCTCACCTCTCACCTCTCACCTCTCTCCTCTCACCTCTCACCTCTCTCCTCTCACCTCTCACCTCTCTCCTCTCACCTCTCTCCTCTCACCTCTCACCTCTCTCCTCTCACCTCTCACCTCTCTTCTCTCACCTCTCACCTCTCTCCTCTCACCTCTCACCTCTCTCCTCTCACCTCTCACCTCTCTTCTCTCACCTCTCACCTCTCTCCTCTCACCTCCCTCACCTCTCACCTCTCTCCTCTCACCTCTCACCTCACCTCTCTCCTCTCACCTCTCTCCTCTCACCTCTCACCTCTCTCCTCTCACCTCTCACCTCTCTCCTCTCACCTCTCACCTCTCTTCTCTCACCTCTCACCTCTCACCTCTCTCCTCTCACCTCTCACCTCTCTCCTCTCACCTCTCACCTCTCACCTCTCACCTCTCTCCTCTCATCTCACCTCTCACCTCACCTCTCACCTCTCACCTCTCTCCTCTCACCTCTCACCTCTCTCCTCTCACCTCTCTCCTCTCACCTCTCTCCTCTCCCCTCTCACCTCTCACCTCTCTCCTCTCACCTCTCTCCTCTCACCTCTCACCTCTCTCCTCTCACCTCTCACCTCTCACCTCTCACCTCTCTCCTCTCATCTCACCTCTCACCTCACCTCTCACCTCTCACCTCTCTCCTCTCACCTCTCACCTCTCTCCTCTCACCTCTCTCCTCTCACCTCTCACCTCTCTCCTCTCACCTCTCACCTCTCTCCTCTCACCTCTCTCCTCTCACCTCTCTCCTCTCACCTCTCACCTCTCTCCTCTCACCTCTCACCTCTCTCCTCTCACCTCTCTCCTCTCACCTCTCTCCTCTCACCTCTCTCCTCTCACCTCTCACCTCTCTCCTCTCACCTCTCTCCTCTCACCTCTCACCTCTCTCCTCTCACCTCTCACCTCTCTCCTCTCACCTCTCTCCTCTCACCTCTCACCTCTCTCCTCTCACCTCTCACCTCTCTCCTCTCACCTCTCTCCTCTCACCTCTCTCCTCTCTCCTCTCACCTCTCACCTCTCTCCTCTCACCTCTCTCCTCTCACCTCTCACCTCTCTCCTCTCACCTCTCACCTCTCACCTCTCACCTCTCTCCTCTCATCTCACCTCTCACCTCACCTCTCACCTCTCACCTCTCTCCTCTCACCTCTCACCTCTCTCCTCTCACCTCTCTCCTCTCACCTCTCTCCTCTCACCTCTCACCTCTCTCCTCTCACCTCTCTCCTCTCACCTCTCTCCTCTCACCTCTCACCTCTCTCCTCTCACCTCTCACCTCTCTCCTCTCACCTCTCTCCTCTCACCTCTCTCCTCTCACCTCTCTCCTCTCACCTCTCACCTCTCTGCTCTCACCTCTCTCCTCTCACCTCTCACCTCTCTCCTCTCACCTCTCACCTCTCTCCTCTCACCTCTCTCCTCTCACCTCTCACCTCTCATGAGCAACTAGCCTCTCACCTCTCCTGGAAGAAGATCATTTCATTCGACGCCGCCTCCACCAGCCCCTCCAGCCGCTTCACCTCCCACTCGAAGCTCTGCATGCCACCCCCACCCCTCCATGGCACCCACCACAGCACCCACCACAGCACCCACCACAGCACCCACCACAGCACCCACCACAGCACCCACCACAGCACCCACCACAGCAGCACAGCAGCACTCACAGCAGCCAGCACCACCCACAGGCAGCGAGGAATGGGCAGCAGGGGAGGGCAGATGGTGAGCAGCTGTGCATTCCCTCCGTGCCTTGCAAACCCTCAGCACAGCGCTGCCCCACAACGGCCACTACTGCTGTCATCTTTCAATACCCTTGCACGCATGGTGAGGTGCACGCATGGTGAGGTGCAGGCATGGTGAGGTGCACGCATGGTGAGGTGCAGGCATGGTGAGGTGCACGCATGGTGAGGTGCACGCATGGTGAGGTGCAGGCATGGTGAGGTGCAGGCATGGTGAGGTGTAGGCATGGTGAGGTGCAGGCATGGTGAGGTGTAGGCATGGTGAGGTGCAGGCATGGTGAGGTGTAGGCATGGTGAGGTGCAGGCATGGTGAGGTGCAGGCATGGTGAATGCAGGCACAGCAAGCAGCAGAGACAACCCCTCTCACCTCCACGCGCTCCTCTCACCTCCACCCGCTCCTCACCTCCACCCTCTCTTTGGTGGCGGCCTGCTGCATGTGCGACGCCACCTGCCCCTCGCGCCACGTCACCTCCACCTGGTGCCGCGCGTCGTCAGGGCGGCCCACGTGGGTGGCGTGCAGCCAGAAGCAGAGGTGGTACTCGCCGCTCTCCTCCGCTGTGAACCCCACGTGCCCCTCGCCCACCCCCTCCTTCAGATACACGTGCACGCCGCCCGGGGAGGTCACCTGCGCCATCACAACACACCAGTGGGGAGGCGTGGAGAAGAATGAGACGAGTGGAGAAGAATGAGACGAGTGGAGAAGAATGAGACGAGTGGAGAAGAATGAGACGAGTGGAGAAGAATGAGACGAGTGGAGAAGAATGAGACGAGTGGAGAAGAATGAGACGAGTGGAGTTTGGCTGAATCGACATGGCTGCAGCAAGCAAGGGTGGGTCCCATGGATGTGGGCGCGTGAGTGTGCAAGGATGTGACGAGGCGCCGGGCAGAGGGAGGAAGCACGGACGGAGATGTCGAGGGAGAAGGGGTGCGCGTGGCTGGCGGGCACTGCGGCGTAGGAGGCGGCGACGAGGGTGTCGCGGCGCAGGTCATGGCCGACGCACTTGGCGTGCTGCTCCACGTGGAAGCGCACCGCTGTGGCCGCTGGTGGGGCGAGGCGGTGGGGAGTGAAGAGTTGGAGGGGCTTGATAAGTACATGCTTGGGCGGCCGCACTCGCATGGCCCTGAGCTTTCAGTGCGGCAGAAGAGAAGAGAAGGAAAGGCAGTGAGGCATAAGCAGTGCGAGGAAGAGTGGCCACGTGAGTGTGCGGGGAGCGTGCGAGAGGTGGCAGGGCTGAGAGGGACGAGGGGCGGTGAGGGGAGGGACAGTGAGGGGAGGGGCAGTGAGGGGAGGGGCAGTGAGGGGAGGGGCAGTGAGGGGAGGGGCAGTGAGGGGAGGGGCGATCGCAGCAGGCACAGTGCGGCGCGCTGCAGTGGCGACAGCGGCGACAGCGGCGACGCGCGCACCCTCCGATCTGCCCGCGAGGTGCCTCACCGCGCTCGGCGCGCAACGCTACTCGGCGGCTCACCTGCGCGCGCGGCCACGGCGAGCAGCAGCAGCCACAGCGCGACGCCGCGCGCCATGGCGCTTCGCGCGGCGAGCGCGGGGGAAGGCGAATACGGCGGCACTTGTTGAGCGGAACGAAAGCCGCCGTTGATAACGTTACGCGGTGCGCGCAGTGTGACTCGCCTGCTGTGTGATGGTGGCGGCGTTCGTGCAGGGAAAGATTTCGCGAATGTGTGCTGCGATCTCGATCGTTATCATTCCGATGTTGGTTGTCACAGAGTCACGAGCACTATAAAATGCTTCGTTAGAACTTTTTGTTATTACTACCATACAACCGTCTAAAAAACATCGAGAATACTACGAAACAAACAAAAATGTTTTGAACGAGCATCTATTGAACCACAGCCATGATGTCTCCCTCCCTCACAAAGCAGAATCTGTCGGAACCATCCCCAATTGCCACCTGCATGGGGATTGGCCATCAAGACCACAACACTCAGAAAGCATGCCGACAGTGCAAACTCCATGGAAGTAGCGTGTGTATTAAAAAAAAAAGTGTCGGGGGGTGAAGAGTAGAGGAAAGCAACACAAGTTTGCGCTAGAGCTGGCAGTGGTGGGCACGAGAGAGGCTCACCTCATAGGCGTTCATGTCGGGAAACATGATCTGCACTCACCCCCACGGCACACACACAGCACAGCACAGCACACAGGTGGATGGTTATTCAGTATACCCCGAGTTAGACGCTGAGGTACCAATTGGCAACGGTCTAGCCAGGGTGCTGCACGCCACGCTGCTGGGTTTCCGGCCGGCACAGTAATGGCTCTGAGTGGATAGTAATGGCTCTGAGTGGATAGTAATGGCTCTGAGTGGATAGTAATGGCACTGAGTGGATAGTAATGGCTCTGAGTGGATAGTAATGGCTCTGAGTGGAAAGTAATGGCTCTGAGTGGATAGTAATGGCTCTGAGTGGATAGTAATGGCTCTGAGTGGATAGTAATGGCACTGAGTGGATAGTAATGGCTCTGAGTGGATAGTAATGGCTCTGAGTGGATAGTAATGGCTCTGAGTGGATAGTAATGGCTCTGAGTGGATAGTAATGGCTCTGAGTGGATAGTAATGGCTCTGAGTGGATAGTAATGGCTCTGAGTGGATAGTAATGGCTCTGAGTGGATAGTAATGGCTCTGAGTGGATAGTAATGGCTCTGAGTGGATAGTAATGGCACTGAGTGGATAGTAATGGCTCTGAGTGGATAGTAATGGCTCTGAGTGGATAGTAATGGCTCTGAGTGGATAGTAATGGCACGAGGGATGACGATCTGTAAAGAGGGGCCTAGGAGAGTAGTGATGGATGCTTAGACAGCAAGGATCACCGCAGACACAACCATAGCACCGCACAGCATGGCATGGCATGGCATGGCATGGCATGGCATGAGCATACTGTCAATGGCAAGCGTGTGGCACTGCTCCACAGTGGCGCCCCTGCCAGGGCCTCCCCTTGCACTCCAGGCTCACACACATGTTCCACCAGCGTGGCAGATCACCAGGTGTCGAGGCCAGGTCAGTGCAACAGGTGAGTCGCAAGGTGAGTAAGCAAAGTAGGATGTAAGTGTTAACCTTTCATTTCAGGAAAATCCTTTCGATCCAGTCAACCAATGTCAAAACAATATGGACGAAAGCAGGAAAGCTCCTCGATTCATTTTGGGTATGTTTGTTGTTCATTGGCTACGGACGTGAGTGACCAAGGAGAGAGGGTGGAGTGTGAGAGGGAGTGCAGTGACAGCGTCGAGTGACTGACCTTCTGCCCCGCTGATGCCTTCTTCACCTCCTCTCCCGCTGATACCACCTGCCGTGCCTCGTGTGCCAGCCCCGCTCCCCCCCACCCACCCACCACGCACACACGCCCACATCCACACACACAGAAAAACACAGAGTTGGACAGAAACAATTGAGATACACAGTTAGAGCAGTAGAGGAGGGCAGCAGAGGAGGGCAGCAGAGGAGGGCAGCAGAGGAAGGGAAGAAAACATCAGTACCTGCCCGGTGAGGTATCGCCTTACCTGCCCGGTGAGGTATCGCCTTACCTGCCCGGTGAGGTATCGCCTTACCTGCCCGGTGAGGTATCGCCTTACCTGCCCGGTGAGGTACCTGCCCGGTGATGTATCGCCTTACCTGCCCGGTGATGTATCGCCTTACCTGCCCCGTGAGGTATCGCTCGTACTTGACGGCCTGCGTGGGCAGCAGCACGCCCCCCGCTGACTTCTGCACTCATAGGCACGCAGAGGGAGGCGCAGATGGGGAAACAGAGGAGGCACAGGGGGGCACAGCGGGGCACAGCGGGGCACAGCGGGGCACAGCGGGGCACAGCGGGCATGCGACAGTGCGCGTGAATGGAAGGAACACCGAGTCCCAGAGTGGTGCCTCAGCGCCAGGGCGGTAGGAGTAGAGAGCGAAGGTGGACGGACAGAGCAAAAGAGGAGAGCGAGGCAGGGGAACAGGGAGGTGAAAGAGCAAAGAAGGTGGGCAGATAGCAGGTGGGCACGCGTCAGGTACAGAAGAAGATGGGGACATGGGGGAATGGGGGCGTGGGGGTGACGGGGGCGACGGGGGCATGGGAGCATGGGAGCACGGGGGCATGGGAGCATGGGGCGGGGGGAGCAGCACTCACCTGCTCGGGCTCATCGAGCTTGACCAGCACTCGCTCGCCCCGTGGCTGCAACTGCATGCACGGAGACGAGGGCGGCATGGAGAGAATAGACAAAGGAGACAATTGAAAATAAGAGGGAGCGAAAGGGAGAATAAAAAAAGCAAAGGGGAAATAAGAGAGGGAGAAAGGAGGAAGGGGGACATCAGAGGGGGGCACGCAGGGAGCAGAGAGTGAGGCTGGTCGCGCGGTGCAATGTGAGGCTGGTCGCGCGGTGCAATGTGAGGCTGGTCGCGCGGTGCAATGTGAGGAAGAGCTGCTGGGCCCCGCCTCGACCGCGGCATGCCGTGACACAACAACACGCTGTTCGACGCTTTTCGCGTCTGTGTTACCTTGTTACCAGAACATGTTCACGTCGCAAGGGCGAGCTCTTGCCGCGGAGCTGGCGTGGCGTCGCATGCCGGCAGCTGACGTCACTGCGCACAGCTGCGTGGTCCTGCTGACGGCACCCCTTGGTGGCTGCGCACTGTTACGACCCGCTGCTCTCTGCCCGCCCACCACGCCAACCCGCACCCGCACCCGCACCCGCCCGCACCCGCACCCGCACCCGCCCCTTCACTCACCTACCCCAACCCTCCCTGCCACCACCCCTCACTCCACCCACCCCTCACTCCACCCACCCCTCACTCCACCCACCCCTCACTCCACCCACCCCTCACTCCACCCACCCCTCACTCCACCCACCCCTCACTCCACCCACCCCTCACTCCACCCACCTCTCGCTGCCTCCCGGCCTCACCCGCTTGTCGCTCAGCGCCTGCGCGATCTCCGCCGCGCTCATCGCTGCGCGCACGCCCACCGCCGCCGCCGACGACGATCGCGACGCGCATTTTCTGGAACGAGCGACCAATGGGGAGGCGAGGCTGGGCGTGGTGACACGGCAGGTGCGCGCGCCGGTGAGGGTGGAGAGCGCGGCGGGCTGCGACGCGACGAGCGACGAACGACGCGCGCGGTGGGAGGGAGGGATGTTGTGAAGGCGCGATGGGAAGGAACGAAGTTAGCATCAGTGATCTCTGAACCTACTAGCCTGTGCGCGGTGAATACAGAAACAAATGCACAGCGATGAAGGGTTTAAGGAAACTTAAAGAGAGTGGCGGGGGTGTGCAAGTGAAAGAGGTGGGAATGAAGGGGCAGGAGGGGACGGGGGAGGGGGAAGGGGTGGGAATGCGAAGAGCGAGCGGTGGCAGCAGCGTGGCGACAGATGCGAGCACAAGCGCAGGCGGGGGGGCGATTGGGCGGGCGAGGCGTGAGAAAGGCATGCTTGTAGCGGGTCGCGGGAGCGGCGTGGACGAGAGGGCTCACCGCGAACGCGGATTGGTGGATGCAAGCGAGCGACATGGACGCCATGCGTCCGGGCTGTGCGGTGACGAGCGAGCAGCGAACACTGAAACGGTGATCGCGGAGGTGAAGGGACAAGTGATGAGAAGGCAGAATGACGAGATCAAGTGCTGCCGTGCCGAGATGACGAAGACAGCTTGTTCCCGTCGACTGTCGCCCAACCGCAGAGCGAAACGGCGGAGGCTTCGCGAACCTCCGAGTGGATGACGTGGCCTGCTCGCCTCCCAAGCGACCAATCTGGATTGTTCCTGCGAAGAACACCCCGCGTTGTCCAGGGTGGACAGACCCTTTGATGTTACGCCACGTGTAACAATGTAAGGGAGTGGAACACTTGAAATTCCATTACATATATCACGTGAATATATGCGAATAGTAAACAACTGTAAGGATTTTTTCAGCATTCCTTACCGCGACCTTCAACATCGTGTACAGCAGCAGTCGTTTTTCGCCCGTTACTGCTAACAGGGCTTCGGCAAGTTCTCTTCGCGCGCACTGTTTTACCAAACCATGCACCGCTAGCCTGGCCGAGACGGTAGCCCGACCTCGATGCCAGCCTAGCACTAGCTAGCTCGCACACACCGCGTAACCATTGTATGTCTTCGCACATAATTATTCGCTCATACTTTGTACTTGTTTGACACCTAGAGCAATCCTCGCTATCTAGTTCCATTGCAAGCTGCCATCTTGGCCCTCAATTTTTTTTTGTACTCACCGCCCGTGCTTCACATCGCTGATCCTCATCGTCAGTTCGAGCTCGTCACCGACGGAAGTGACATCGATGTGGGAGCAGTGTGTTGCAGGACTTCGGTAACGGCCTTCAGTCAATTGCGTACGAGTCCCGCAAACTTCACCCGCCCGAGCGCAACTACTCGATACACGACCGCAAGATGCTGGCGATCGTGCACGTGTTCTAAGTGTGGCGGTGCTACTGACAGGAGCCGACGTCATAGTACGGACGGAACATCGTGCACTACAGTACCTTCGCGCCCAACCGAATCCCAATCCGCGACAGATCCGCTGGATGGACTATCTGGAGTCCAACTTCCAATACACCGTCACGTACAAAAAAAAAGGGCAACAAATATCGCCGACGCAATCACCCGCCCCACTGCCCAAGTTCACGCCATCCTACTCGCCCAAACCAACCCACTTTTAACAGGCCTATTTGTCAGAATCCCAGCCACTAACCACTGGGATAAAAGGGCTTGTTTGTGTAGCGGGTAAGTGCGCCCATAACCCCCCAGGCCAACGTGCATGTAACCCTTCCCTAGGATCAATCGGGGATCACCAGTGGACCTCTGACACCCCCCCGCACTGGGATGCCCGAAGTGCACCCACCGGGATTCGAACCCGAGACCTTCGCTCTGATAACATGTCAGAATCCCAGCCACTAACCACCGGGATAAAAGGGCTTGTTTGTGTAGCGGGTAAGTGCGCCCATAACCCCCCAGACCAACGTGCCTGTAACCCTTCCCTAGGATCAATCGGGGATCACCAGTGGACCTCTGACACTATTCACCCACGGATACCGCACTGACCCATTTTTCACGACTGGAAATTCACAGCTATTGGCAGAAGCAAATGGAGTCTATTGCGTAAAAACATACACCAACCGCATTTGGGTACCTGCATACTCACTACCGAGGGAACTGCTACTACAGGAGGAACACGACCATGTTACCTCAGGTCATCTCGGGGTGGAGAAAACGCGACAGCAATTGCAGCAGTATTACTACTGGCCGGAGCTATTGACCGACGTACAGCACCACGTGGGATCGTGTCCTACGTGTCGGGTGATGAAGAGCTCGTGAAAAAGAAAGGCAGGTCAATTGCAGCCGATTTCACCGCCCGAGCGTGCCTGACAAAAGGTTACCATGGATTTCGTCACGGGGTTACCTTCGAACCCTAGGGGTAACGACGCGATTATGGTCGTCGTTGACAGACTGACGAAAATGGTCACAAGACCAGTTCACATGCAGTTTGATAATATAACAAGAGGTACAGCGATCACAACCTAGCAAGTGTAAGCATGCAGGGATATATATAGAGATCACAGTACAAACAGAGTCAAGAAGTGAGCAAGTGAGGGAGAGTAGGCACAAGGCCTAGAACAGTACAGAAACGCTGATGGTCACAAGGCTGAAGCGCCTTGGTGAACACATCAGCAGTGTTGGCCCGAGTGGTCACGTAGGTAAGACGAAGCTGACCACGCTGCTGCAGCTTTCGAGCAAGGAAGTAGCGCAGAGCGATGTGCTTCGTTCTGTGCTCCAGTCTGTGCTCCTCACACAAGGCAATGGCTGCCTTGTTGTCGACGTACAGCACTGGAGGAGAACGAGGCCGCTCTCCGAGGTCGGTCAGCAGGTAGGTGAGCCAGCGTAGCTCCTGGGCCGCCATGGCTGTAGCGTAGATCTCAGCCTCACAACTGGAGCTGAGAACAGAAGAAGAGCGTGTAGAACGCCAAGAAACAGAGCCAGAGCCAAGGCTGAAGGTGTAGCCCTGAGACGACCGCTGAGTAGCCTGGTCGTCAGCCCAAGAAGCGTCTGAGTGCCCAGTGAGGACAACTCGGTCTCGTCCTCCAAGCACTAGCCCCATGCCCGACGTACTGCACAAGTAGCGCAACACCCTCTTAGCGGCATCCATGTGCTCCTTCCGGTGACGGCCAGGAGCGACATAACGTGCAAGGATGCTAAGAGGGTATGCAAGGTCAGGTCGAGTGCAGGTCATCAGGTACATGAGGCAGCCCACAAGCTCTGGATACGGGCCACTCGGCTCTACGGACTCATCCGAAGGCAGAGCTGAGAGCGAGTGACCGGTAGGCTGAGGAGTGGGCTGAGGCGAAGAGTACGTGAAGCGGAAGCGCTGAAGGACCTGCTGCACCATGTGTGACTGAGTCAAGGTGATGGTGCGCCGTGCTCTGTCCCGGGTGATCCGCAAGCCAAGATAGCTTGTCAGTTCCCCCAGGTCTGTGCACGTGTGTCTCTTCTGCAACTCCGACTTCACGTGGGCGAGTGCCGCAGTGTCAGCAGTGTCAAAGACCAAGTCGTCGACGTACACGAGGATGTAGAACGGCGGCAGCGAAGTGTCGGTGCGTAGAAACAGCGACGGGTCAGCAGTAGAAGGAGCGAACCCAAGAGCCGCAAGCGTAGTCCTCAGTGTGTCGTGCCACTCACGCGGCGCCTGTCGGAGACCGTAGACTGGCCGCCGGAGGCTCCACTGGGTACCAGGAGGGAACGACCCAGTGAAGCCAGGTGGGCGGCGCAGCCAGATCTCCTCGTGCAGGCTGCCCTGTAGGAAAGCAGTGCTGAAGTCAAGAGAGTGGAGCTCGTAGTCACGCTGAGCGGCGACGTGCAGCAGAACCCGAAGAGTGGTCATCTTCGGGGTGGGGGAGAAGGTCTGGAAGAAGTCAACTCCCTCTCGCTGACTGAAGCCTCGTGCAACGTAACGCGCCTTGAAGACAGGCGGAGAACCCGGCGGCCGCTTCACCCTGAAAATCCACATGCCACTGACGATGTTCGCCCCAGGTGGGGGAACCTCGTCAACGTAGGTGCCTGTGGACTTCCAAGAAGCCATCTCTGCGTGTAACGCGTGTAGTCGTCAACAACAATCAGGAAGTACCTCTCCTGACCCTGTCCACGGACGCGGGCTGGGCCCCACACGTCCATGTGGAGCATCTGCAAGGGAGCAGTCGTCGGGGGAAACGAGGAGGAGTGAGGAGCGGCGCGCTGCCGCCCCTCGACACAAGGAAGACAGGGAGGAGAAGGCGAGGGTGGGAGGGGAGGGAGTACCCGGGGAAGACCAGAGACAAGGTACCGTTTGTGCATGGCACGAAGGCGCTGCACTGACGGGTGACCAAGGCGTTGGTGCCAGAGGACAGTCTCGTGCGCCAGAGAGCGACACGAGCAGGGGGCAGACAGCTGACCTGACGCAGACGCAGACGCAGACGCAGCTACCTGAGGGGACTCAGTGGTCAGTGTGTACAAGTCCGACCCCGGCTGCCTAGTGAAGGTAGCCAGGTGACGGCCCGTCCGAGCACACGTGCAGTGTGTCACACGCTCGTAGGCAGGGGTGAACTGGTGGACACCCCCGTCCTGGAGGGCACAACCCGCCACCAAGTTCGTAGAGAACGAGGGGAGGTGGAGACCTGACAGAGTGCCCGACGGAACCGCAGGACAAGGAAGGACAGTGGAGGAGGTCGCTATGACTGGACCCCCAGAGGGGTCAGCAAGGGAGACAGCAACTGGCCGAGCAAGCTGCTCAAGGGCAGTGCGGTCACGAAAGAAATAGCGAGAAGCGCCTGAGTCTAGAGTGAAGAGGTGCAGTGCCTCAGTGGACTCAGTACCAGGGGGCGCAGACTCACTAGCACCTGAGGCAGCAGCCTCACCAGCACCTGGGGCAGCAGACACGTAAGCACCTAGCGCAGTAGCCTCACCAGCACCTGGGGCA